GGCGCGCGGGGGCCTTCCCCGCAGGGGCCCCCCGGGGAGCTGTGCGGGGCTGGAGGGAGGACAGGCTGCACTCGAGCCGAGTCCGTGCGCGGTCAGCAGCCGGGTGGGCCCTTCCCCTTTGCACTCAAGATGCTGGCGGAGCGGCCCGTTGTGACGGGAAATGCCGGCAAGTACCGAAAGCAAAACTGAAAACAGCCGCTCACGTAGGAAAGAACAACACGGGCTAAGCGGAAACGAGCCACGTCCTGTGTATGAGGGCAGATAGTAATGGAGACACATGTTTTAGAGGATGAAGGGGCTTCTAGGAGACAGGTGTTTTGAGTAATAAAGACTCGGCCACATGGAAAGCCGATAGGAAGTGAGCTTTATTCATCAGTTTGGAAGAGCAGCAACAGGAGTGCGATTTTAAAGCTTGAAAGATGTAATTTCACAGACCGAACAATTCATAAATTGAGGGGTAAACTTATAGAGCTTAAGGGGGGGGGGTTGGAATACGGGTTCACAGAAAGGATTAGGAGAAAATACGGCACATATCTACACTCTGGACCTGTCTTCTTGCTGGCCCTTTCTCCTTATAGGCCATTCTTAATCTGAATGATTATTCTGTGCATTCTTTTGAGAAAGGGGAGGTGTAAGAGAAGAATTCAGCAACAATGCAAAATCCTGATTATATCCTCTCAAGCTAAATATAGACTGAGGTTTTTATTTTTTCCCCTTTTTGTTGAGGTAACATTGCTTTATAACATATAGATTTCAGGCGTACATCGTTATATTTCGACTTCTGTATCGACTACATCGTGTTCACCACCAGAAGTCTAGTTGCCATCCATCACCGTACACATGTGCCCCTTTACCCCTAGAATGAGTTTTTGAATTAAAATGATTTTATCAAAAGAATTTGTTAGTGGTGTCATTTTATTCTGTGGGTTTTACGTGTAAACTAAAACCCACACACCCACTTCTCATGGGTTGATTTCACTTTATAATGTGAGGAAACCACGGGGCAGTTTCAGGCCAGGGAACTTTTGATCTTCAACTTTATCATTTTGTATCAGACCAATTTTTATTTTTTAGACACTTGGTTTCTCACAGAAAGAAGTGGTTTTTCCTTAAACGAACATATATATATATATGTTACTGTCGTAAAAGTTATAGTTTACCCGAATTGAAGTTCATCCAGGGGTACTGTAGCACTAGTATAGTTCATACTGTCGAGCTGGCTATTCATGCTAGTGTAGGTGTCGTTTACCTGGAACTTAAAAATGGAGGGTCAGGGGAGGGCTTAAATACACAGTATACCACATCCATGGAAATGTGTATAAATAATCGTAATACTCACCTCATATTTAGAATAGAAGAGCATTTGATTCTAGAATTAGACCAATTGCTAATATTGCTAGTATATATAAAATGAAGCTGAATGTTTTGAATTCTTCTGAATAGTCTTAATAAATAGGGCAGGAAAGTACCAGTTTGTCTTAAGTTTACTTTTTTGTGTGTGTGTTTTAATTTTCTTCAGGGAAACTTTTGCTTTTTTTTTTTTTAATACTACTCTTATCACCTGGATAAAACTACAGCTGAACACAGATCACTTTATCCTCAAGCAGAGGGATGGAAATAGAAGAATTTAAGAATGTACTGATTGAGAAAAAAATTCTATACTATTACTTGGTTTTATTTTTCTTCTCCTAGGGGTAAGATAATTTCTTACCAAATGAGTTTATCTAGATTATAAACTGCTCAGTTTATTTTCTACCCTGCCTCAGAAGAAGCACTCTGCAGAGACTAGAGCCACAACTAGAGTTGTGACTCTAAATGAGTCTACTCTGCCCGGGGCTTGGTGGCAATATTAACCTGGGGAAATAAGAGAGTCAACCTGCTGCAGAAATACTTGGAGGCATCTCTATAATGTCCTCATGAGCTTTTAAAAAAGGAGTACAGCCTCACAAAACCTTAATGATCAGAACAGTGATGAAAAAAGATCATCCACAGTCTACAACCCAAAGATGACCACTGTTGATATTTGATGATTCTTTCAAGTCCTTTTCTCAGAGTACTTTGTACGTAGTTGAGATAAAATTTTGAACTCTGTTTTTCCCACCCTTTATTATTATAAAAGTCCCCATGTTGTTAAACAGTCTCCAAAAGCACAATGCTGAATGATTTAATAAAACAAAACCATGCTTGGTTTTGTTTTGTTTTGTTTTGTTTTTGGTGAGGAAGATTAGCCCTGAGCTAACATCTGTTGTCAATCCTCCTCTTTTTGCTGAAGAAGATTGGCCCTGGGCTAACATCCTTCCCCATCTTCCTCTACTTTATATGTGGGACACCTGCCACAGCATGGCATCAATGCCATCAAGCCATAAGCGGTGCATATGTCCGCGCCCGGGATCTGAACCTGTGAACCCAGGGCTTCTGAAGCAGAGCGTGTGAACTTAATCACTACGCCACCAGGCCGGTTACATTCTTGTTTTATTGGGCATTTTGGTTGGAGGACAATAGCATTTTCATATTTAATCAGTATTTTAAATTGATGTATTAAAGTTTAGAACATTAAGGTTTCTTTAGTTTGTTTGGTATAATCTTATAAACACTGTTCATACTTGAGCTTTATTTACATTTTGCCTTCTAGGTTCTTCAACGGCATGAAAAAGCCAACACCATGGTGGCATTAATGCAAGTCTATGGAGAGGAAGATAAAGCATACCAGGAATTAGTCACTGTGGCGACCACGTTCTTCCAGTATTTCCTGCAGCCATTTAGGGATATGCGAGAAGTTGCAACTTCATGTAAACTTGATATTTTGGTATGTTTTCTTTATATTTGTATTTTATCAGATTTACCATTTTCACATATTTGGTCACATTTAAGATTCAATCTATGTCTGCACTTTGGGTTCACCCTTAGGTTTAGATAATATTGTAGATATATTGAATTTATTTTTAAAAATTGATAAAAATGAAGACATTGCCATTGGTCATCTTCTCAATACATTAAGATTTTTGCAGATTTTCAAGGGTTGAACACGTTCTTTGTTGATGACTTGTTTTTGATGTGATGCCTATTTACTTTAGCTTATTTTCAGCCTCTAAGGACACATGTGAATTTCTTAGAAATAGGATGAAAATTTAAATAGCAAGGCTCTGAATTGTATTTCAGTAATTTAAACTTTAGTAAATGCCATCATCGCTCTTACTTCGTTGAGCCAGGGCACAACCCTGTGACACTAGCTGGAATAGGCATGATCATCCCAGTGTTAACAAGTGCATCTGGAGCCCAGAGGGGTTAAATAGCTTTCCTTGGGTCTCAACCAGCTGGAATCAGAAGACATCAGAGAGATCTCTTGATCTCTGTCCCCTGCACTGGGCCATCCTTCCACACAGGTACTCATGACCCCCGCCAGGCTACTGTACCATAAAAATGCTATTGTGTTTAGATGAAATTCATGCCACTCTAACCTGTGGAGAAAGTAGTTCTGTTCATTGTTTTGAAAGTCTATTATTTGGATAGTCTTTACTTCCTGTATATTTTTTCTTTCTTTAAATAACAGCTTTATTGAGATATAATTCACAGAACATATAATTCACCTATTTAAAGTGTACAATTCAGTGGTTTTTAGAATATTCAGAGTTGTGCAGCCATCACCACTGTCTGATTTTAGAACATTTTCATCACCCCAAAAAGAAACCCCACACCCATTAGCAGTCACTCCCCATTATCCCCCAACCTTCCCAGCTGTAGGCAACCACCAATCTACTTTCTGCCTCTGTGGATTTCCCTATTCTGGACCTTTCATATTGTATAAGATCATATAATATGTGGTCCTTTGTGTCACTCCTTTCATGTAGCATGTTTTCAAGGTCCATCCATGTCGTATCATGTATCAGAACTTCATGTCTTTTTATTGCCAAATAATATTCACTATATGGATATAGCACATTTTACTTACCCATTTAGCAGTTGATGGACATTTGGGTTGTTTCCACTTTTTGGCTATTATGAATAATGCTGCTATGAACATTTGTGTGCAAGTTTCTATGTGGACATATGTTTTCATTTCTCTTGGATATATACCCAGGAGTAGAATTGCTAAGTCATATGGTAACTCTATGTTTAACCTCTTAAAGAACTGCCAGACTGCTTTCCAATGCAAATGCACCATTTTACATTCCCACCAGCAGTAAATGAGAGTTCCAGTTTGTCCACATCCTCGCCAACACTTGTTCTTGTCTGTCTGTTTGATTATAGCCTTCCTAGTGGATGTGAAGTGGTATCTCATTGTGGTTTTGATTTACATTTCCCTGATGGCTAACTGTGTATATTCCTTATATTACTAGCTTTATAGAAGAATTAGATGCTGGGTGACATAGTACATGTCATAATCATGAATATACAGGTTTTACTATCTTGTAGGTTATTTTATTACTTTTGCTCTTCAGAAAAGAATCACAGTATAGAAAAGCTTCTCACCATATCCCTAAAAAAAAACCCACAGCAACAGCTAACACTTGAGTATACGAGGCCCTATGCTGAGTGCCTAACAACCCAGATCTCATTTAAACAATTGTTTATTATTATCAATAGAGAAACATAACTTGACAGCATTTCTCTCTAGAAAAAGTTAACCTAGTAATGCAAAGTGAAAGTAGGTTTTTAAAAAAATTTATGCCCCAGAGTATCCTTTTGTCTTCCAGGTGGTGCCCAGCTTAGAGCCTTATTCATACTCCTTAAGAAATTGCTGAATGAATGAAATTTAATTGACTAAGTAGTAGTAATAAAAGTAGTTGAAATAATCCATGTGACCAGTTTCCTTTCAATTTCCTAATGGCTCTACATTACCATTCTCTTTTACTCACACAGTTTTCCCTTCTCTCTATAGAAGTCCCTGGAGGAAGATGATCTGGGGCCTAAAAGGATAGTTGCCTTGCAGAGAGAAGCCCAAGAATGGGCCAGACGGGCTGAGGAAGCTATCGTCTCTATTCAAGATATTACGGTGAATTATTTTAAAGAAACAGTAAAAGCCTTAGCAGGTAATAATTTAAAATGCTATTCTAAGACACGTGTAATTTTCATTTTATTCAGAAAACATTTGAGTGCCTCTTAAGCACCAGGCACTGTGTTTTCTAAGTACTGGGGATTCAATATAAGGATAAATATAAACAGACACGGTACAGTCTGGTGAGGGGAGAGACATTTTAATTACATGTTCATTCAAACACATGGAAAATGGCAGTGGCAAGAAGCCACATGAAGAAGAGAAACATGGGGCTCTGAGAGCCCATGAGAGAGAAATTAGTCTCAGTCAGAGTGGTCAGCAAAGGCATCTGAGAAGTGGCACTTGCCCTGATATCTGAAGGGTAAATGGAAGTTGAGAGAGCAAAAAAGTGAAGGAAGAGTGTTCCAGGCAGAAGGAATAGCATTTATGAAGGCCCTCTGGCTTGAGGGAGCTTGGCAAGTTTGAGGAGCTTAAAGAAAGCCCATGGGGCTGGAGCACAGAAGTACGGAGAATACCGTGTGAGAGAATGCTGGCAAGAAGGGCAAGGGTGAGACCACGTGGGTCTGGTGGGCTGGGGGAAGGACTTCTGTCTAATCTTAAACCATTGTCAATAATAGTCCCAAAGAGGGAAACAACTTAATGTCTCTCAATCAGTTTGTCAAATTACAGTACATTCATAAAATGGAATACCACGTGGCTATTAAGCATAATTCTCTATATCTATTTTTATGAATGGCCACAGTTCCATAATATATTAAGTGAAATTAACAAGTTACAAAGCAGAATGATGATCAAATGGGGTTTTTTTGGTCAAAATATCTATATAAGCCTGTCTAGCTAGACATAGAAACAGTCTGGAAGTATATGCACCAAAATGTAAGAAGCAATTGCCTCAAGTAGGTGAGATTCATGATTTATTATTTTCTTCTTCTTTTTTTAAATGAAGTATCTAAAGTTTTATACCAGTGACCATGTATTATTTTTGTGACAATAATAAAGTCATTAAAATACAACAATTTTTCCGTTAAAAAGAATGTTTTGCAGTTACTATGGAAGGCAATAAACAAAGAATTAGCTTGGAATAAATTTTTCCCTTTTTCATGAGTTGTAATTATGTTTTAGTTTATTAATTATAATCCAACAGGAATGCAGAAACAAATGGAACAGGATGAGAAGAGATTTGGCCAGGCTACCTGGGCCACAGCCACTCCCAGATTAGAAAAACTCAAGCTGACATTAGCTCGGGAGACTCTGCAACTCATGAGAGCCAAGGAGCTGTGTTTAAATCACAGAAGAGCTGAAATTCAGGGAAAGGTAAGACAAAGATAAATGTAACTTTGTTTTTAAAATACACTTTTATTTTAGATAGCACCTTCTTTCCAGGCATTGTTAAAGAGCTTCCTTTCTTCACTTATTGGTGAGAATTTAGAGACTATGGAAGGTTGGCCATAAGGTTTTTCCTTTGGTCAAGATGTTTTTGAAATATTATATTGTAGGATTCGCTTGATAATAACATTGAGCTCAGTACTGAAGTAAGTAATATACTTTAAAATCAATCAAGCAATGTTTTCAGCACAACTTTAGAATAATCAAAGAGGGGCTTCATCCTAAGGTCACAGTCACTTAAATTTTTTTGACTAATAGTAATGTTATGACTTTCAAGCAGAAAACATTGTACATACCTCATTGCCATTTGTTTTTCTCAAAACCTAAATGTTCTCATATATTTCAAGGTGAAATAAAGCATTTGTAACAGATGTTGAATAAGGTATTTTTGTTTCATTAAATGAAATGGAAAAGTGTTTCTTCTCTCTTTGCTTTTTTATATTTGGTACTGAACAAGGAATAGAAAATAACTTGCATGCTTCTAAAGTTCGCTTTTAATATACTAATTATTTTAACTTGCTCTTATGTTTTTCATGAAAACAAGATGGAAGATCTTCCAGAACAAGAAAAAAATATAAATGTTGTAGATGAATTAGAAATACAGTATTATGAAGTTCAACTAGAACTATATGAGGTTAAATTCGAGATATTAAAATATGAAGAAATACTGCTTATTACACAGTTGGACTCTATTAAAAGACTTATAAAAGGTAAAATATCTATTTAAATGTTTATATTAAAATGTTTAAATTACACATTTAGGGAAATACAGACCATGTTATCAATTACTACTTATACATTGTCTAAAACATCTACTGAGGGGCCGGCCCCGTGGCTTAGCGGTTGAGTGCGTGCGCTCTGCTGCTGGCGGCCTGGGTTCCATCTCGGGCGCGCACTGCTTCTCTGGCCATGCTGAGGCCAGGTCCCACATATAGCGACTGGAGGGATGTGCAGCTGTGACATACAACTATCTACTGGGGCTTTGGGGGAAATAAATAAATAAATAAATAAAAAATAAATAAAATTAAAACATCTACTGAAATTTTCTAAATAAAGTTTCCTTTCAGTATTTTTATTATTCAAATACTATATTCATTGTTAAACACAAAGCAAAACAAAGAAAGGAAAACTATTATTACCCCAATTCCATCATCTAGAGATACTTAGTAATAATAATTTGCTGTATAGCTTTGTAGCCTTTTTTGTATGCTGATGATTTTTTAAACCAAAACTATATATCCTGTTCAATAATCTCTTTTTCATGTAATACATAATAACCATCTTTCCATTTCAGTAAGTAATGAAACATCAAAAATTTTAATGGATGCACAGTATTCCATTGTCTGGATACACCATGATTTTCAGTTCTTCACTGTTGCGAGCAGCAGTGTGGTAGTGAAGAACCTTCCTTTACACAGGTCTTTGTGTATAGGACAGATTATTTCCTTGGAATAAATTTCTAAAGATGGAATCATTGGGTCAAAGATAATGCAAATTTTATATTTTGACACGTATCTGTTAAAACAACACTACAATAATCATTTGGTATACATTTTTTCCTCAACTCTATTACTTTCTAATTTCTAAATTTCATACTACATAATGGCCCTCTAGATAGGTTGTACAAAATGACACTCCCATCAGCAGATTATGAAAATATCTGTTTCCCCATACTTATATCATTCTTTTAAATTCTTGCCTACCTCGTAGAAAAAAATGGCATCTTCTGATTTTCATTTATTTAATTACAAGTGATGTTGAATGCAATTTTGTATGTTTACTGGCCACTTGTATTTCTTTTATTCATTGCCTATTCATGGCCTTTGCCCATTTTTCTTTGGAATGTTCCCTTTCCATATTAAAGATATTACTCTATTATCTGTCATATGTTGCAAATAATGTCTCCCTGTCATTTGCTTTTTCTTGCCTTGCAGAAATATTTGCCTTTTTTTTTTTTTGGTGAGGAAGATTGGCCCTAAGCTAATATCTGTTGCCAATCTTCCTCTTTTTGCTGAAGAAGATTGTCCCTGAGCTAACATCCTTGCCCATCTTCCTCTATTTTGTATGTGGGATGCTGCCACAGTGTGGCTTGATAAGCAGTGTGTAGGTCCAACACCTGGGATCCGAACCCGCAAACCCCAGGCTGCCGAAGCAGAGTCCTCGAACTTAACCGCTATGCCATGGGGCTGGCCCTGAAATATTTAATTTTTATGAAGTCCCATCTATCAATGTCTCTGCTTTTGCTGTTATACCTGGCAAAGTCCTCCTCATCCCAAAATTATATCAATATATACTTATGTTTTCTTTTAGTATTTTTATGATTTTGTTTTTTTAAACATTTAGCTCTTTAATCCAGGTGAAATTTATTTTGATGTGGGGTAGGAATCTAACTTTTCCCTCCAAATTGTTGGCAGTCGCAATCACTGATTTTAAGAACATTTTCCCCTACTGCTTTGACTTGCTACCTGTCTCACATCCAGACTTATTATATTTGTTTTGATCTCTTGATGAATTGTTATTTTCTTTCATTGATTTGTGAATGGCTTCTAGTGCCAGGACCATGCTGCTCCAATTATTGTAGTGGAAGCACATTTTAGTATCTGGTAAAGCAAGTACCTCCTTCATTACTTTTCCACAAGTTTTCTGACTGTTCGCACTCCTTTATTCTTGCACATGAACTTTAGAATCATTTTGGCAAGTTCAAAACAAAAAAACAAGAAACTTCTTGGAATTTTTATTGGGATTGTGCTTAAAATTAGAGATTAATTTGGGGAGAATTGTCATCTTTTCAATTTTGAATCTTCCCATCCAAGAACATGGTAGGTCTCTCCATTTACTTAAGTCTCTTCTTTTCCTAAAGTTCCTCCAAGTTTAATAATTTTCTTCATATAGATCCTTGACATTTCATTTAATCCTAGGTATTCAAAAACCTTTACAGTCATTTCAGGTCATAAGCATTTTACATATTTAGGAAAAAAATTCTATTAGAAAAAGGTTAATCTGGAAGGATGCATGCCAAATTGTTCAGAATGGTTTCCTCTGAGAATGAGATTCCAAAGGTTTGGGGAAGGAAGAAGAAAATTTCACTTTTTATTTTATATACTTTTATAGGGCTTGAATTTGTTACACTTAGCATGTATTTTTTAAAAAATCAATATGAGATCAAGATTAAATATTATTAAGGCACCTTAATGATATACTGCTGGTAAAATGTAAGTTGTCTTTCTAAAGGGCAATTTGACAATAGCTATCAAGAGCCTTAAATATTCATCTGCTTAAGAAAGTAATAAAAAATGTACACAAAGGTTTATATTCAGAGATGATCATCACAGTGAAATTGATAATAATGGAACATTGAAGAACAACAGAGAATGCTTGAATTAGAGAATACTGTGTTGCCATTAAAATTACGTTTCCATCACGTGGAAGATGTTCTCTAAGAATTCTGTTTATTGATATGTGTAGCCAAATAAGTAGTGTGTGTGTGTGTGTGTGTGTGTGTGTACACATATACATACATACATAAGTGTTAACAGTGCTCCTCCCTGGGTGATGGGATTACAAGTGATCTTTACTTGCTCTACATTAAAAAAAGTTTTATGCATTATTTTTAATAATAAAACATGTTTTAAAAAATCATTCATATTTTCTAGATAAACAGGATGAAGTTGTCTATTACGATCCGTGTGAAAGTCCAGAGGAACTTACCGTCGTCGCTGGTGTAATGGGGCTGCAGGACGAGAAGAATCTGGAGGTGGAGGAACTCAGCCGGCAGCGCCAGCGGCTGGAGTCTAAACGGGGCAGGCTCTGTGCTAGGAGAGCCTGTCTCCGGAGAAGAAGGGTAGGAGTGCCCGGGCAGCCTTCTTTTCTTTCCTCTTCAAGGCATTTCTTCTTATATGCAAGACAAAGAAGTCTTGAAAATAAGGCTTTTGCTGGTGCTTAATTTTTTGTTTGTGTAGATATCAGTGGCTGCAATTAAAATATATTTTAAATATTCTTCTTTAAAAAGATTCTTTTTCTTTTGGATTTAAGCATTTATCATAATCTCTAGATTTTAATTAATTCATTCAACAACTATTTGTTGAATGCCTGTTACCTATACAGGTATTTTAAAAATCACATTAGGTAGAAACTTCTAATAATCAGCTATAGTAAATTCTAAAATTTATTTTATTGTGGATTGTTGATTATAAAATATCAGTCAGAGATAATATTCAGCTTATTTGAATCCTTATATTGGGTATGTGATTTTTTTTCTTAATTTTTAAAAACTCCATGATTACATAAAACGGTAGCAAACTAATAATGGTTAAGCATAGTTGAAATGTGGTTTTTAATATAATTTTTCAGGTATTTGTAGCTTGGATATGCTTAGGTTTTTGGAAATATTATTTGTAACATTATGGGGAAACTTGTTTAAAACAACTGCATTGAAACAGATTCTTACGGGACATCCCACTTAAGAATAGGAGACTGCCTGTGTGTCCTCTCATTTCCACTGGGTTGGAGGATTTGCTTTTTCATCTCTCGAAGCACTAGATCAAAGCTGTGGCCTTCCTGACTGGGAGCAAATGATCCCTGTTAGCAGCCCATCAGCCCGTATCACATGATTGATGAGGAGGCAGTACCATGGAGCCACACCAGGAACTCTGATTAATGAATGCCTTACACTTAGAGTCCAGATGCAATGCTTTTTTCTTTTAACCTTTTATGCTATAACCCATGGTAATATTAAAAACCATGTAGGTGATTTGTGTTATTCCACCAGGATCAATGCAAAGAAAATCATCAACTCAGATTACAACAGGCTGAAGAAAGTATAAAATATTTTCATCAGCATCATAGTATTCAGATGGTGAGTAGTTGAAGAAAAATGTTTATATTTGCATGATGTGACACACTGGCTTAACTCTGTGGAAGTTGGAGCTCCGCTGCCCTAGACCGGCAGCCATCAGCCTTGACCCTGGGGAGACTGTGCAGTCCAGTCCTGCAGCCTGGGGAGCTGACATTGTTGGTGGTGGGGAGGTGATAACATTGCGTCACGGCTCCTTTCTTTCTCAAGACTTTTATTTTGAGAAATTTACAAATATGTTTGTTTAAATATAGAAAAGAAACAAGATAAAAGAAGAGGAGCAAAAGAAAAAAGAATGGATAAACCAAGAACGCCAAAAAACACTCCAACGATTGAGAGCATTTAAAGAGGTAAGTTCTAGAACTAATCACCACACCTACATTTTCTGGAGAAATAAATGAAGATCACTCGTCCTAGGAGAAAAGTATAAAGTATTATGAACAGATAATTTGGAACGCAAAAATATTCCCCAAATGCTGTTATTTTATTTATTTATTTATTTTTATTTTATTTATCTATTTTTTTCCCCAAAGCCCCAGTAGATAGTTGTATGTCATAGTTGCACATCCTTCTAGTTCCTGTATGTGGGACGCGGCCTCAGCATGGCCGGAGAAGTAGTGCGTCGGTGCGTGCCCAGGATCTGAACCCCGGGCCACCAGTAGCAGAGCTCGTGTGCGTAACCGCTAAGCCATGGGGCCGGCCCCAAATGCTGTTATTTTTAGTACATAAATAAAACCCAAAAATATTAGAACATCAAAATATTTTTGACATTGCCACACGCTAGGGTTCCTGCTCTCCCCTCCTGACTGAGTGGTGCTGACTCTGCCCACCTTGGTGTCAACCTGCAGGGAGAACGAAAAATAGTTAAATAGTTAAATTTGGCTTTTTCCTCATTTGTAATAAAGAATTCTTTAAAATGCAGTCAAAGAAACATTGTGACCTAAGTATAGTAAAGTGCTCTGTTAAAAGTGAATACGTTTAAAAAAAAAAGTAAATACTTATTTAAAAATAACATAAAACATGTTGAATATAAAACATAAACCTGTTCTCATCACACAGCCCCAACACACACCTTCACAAAGACCCAAGTTTACTGTTGCCCCCAGAAGGGGAAACAACCCACTCCCAGACAAGATTCTGGAATGAGGTGTTGAAGGTGCGCTATGTGATACCAACAAGAAAAGTAGGGGCTGCTGGAGTGAATAAATCATGACATACTAATTTCATCTTGTTTTCTAATGTGCTTACTACTCTGACCATTATTGAGTGCCTGCTGTATACCAGGCACTGTGCTAGGCACTCACATTCATTCTCATTTAATTGTTATTTTTTGTGAGGAAGATTGACCCTGAGCTAACATCTGTTGCCAATCTTCCTCTTTTTGCTTGAGGAAGCTTGACCCTGAGCTAACATCTGTGCCCATCTTCCTTTATTTTGTATGTGGGACGCTGCCACAGCATGGCTTGATGAGCAGCGTGTAGGTCCGAGCCCGGGATCTGAACCTGCAAACCCCGGGCCACTGAAGCAGTGCACATGAACTTAACCACTGCATCACCGGGCCAGCCCCTCATTTAATTCTTAAAACAAGTTTGAGAGAGATTACCCTCACCACTTTACAGATGAGTAACCATGACCGAGAGAGGTTACACAGCTTAGCTCCAGGGTACACAGAGCCAGGTCTAACTCCAAGCCGCAACAGGGATTCTCCAACCTGGGCAGCACATCAGAATCACCTGAGGAGCTTCTAAAAAGTACCGATGCTCAGTACTGATGCTCAGATCACACCTCCAGATATTCTGGTTTAATCGTACTGGATGGGGGCCTGGACATGAATCCAAAGGGGAAGACAGAATTCAAGGGGAGCTCCGTGAGTACCGGATGAATGTAGAGCTATGAGGTAGAGAGCACCTGCTCGGTCAGCTGTCACCAGAGGGTACTGATTTGTGGAACGGAGTCAGTGGGAGGAAGGGATTCGAGGGATGCAAGTCCAGCTCCTTAGCCCTGAACCAGTCAGATCAGTGATCACCTTTTCAGATATGGAGGTGAGAGGGATAGACAGATGGAAGATGACAGAATCGGGCAGCCTAAGCTCTCAACAAACTGGAACAATGAGTTAAAAATCCAACACGACCTCAAATTGGTTTAAGTTGCAAGTTTTCAACCAAAAAACCTGTTATGGAGGTGTACACTGATACAGGGGGGCAGTGGGAGGGAGTGTGTGTGTGTGTTCAATTGTAGGGGAGAAGAACTTTGGGAACTTAGTTTCCTTCAGCTTAATGTGAGTCATTTTGATGAAGCTGCAGAAGAGCTCGTGAGTTTTTAGAAAGGACGAACAGAAGCATCTTCTGAAGAATGAGGGGATTCCCTGCTTACCAAGAAGTGCCACCCTGGAAGGGGGCAAAGCCAATTTGAGCACATTCGGAAGGGAGTAAGGAGGAGAGGGAGAATACTGGAAATGAAATCACGCGATATGTGATACTTGTTGAGCCAGAAGAGGTACTTTCAAATATCTGAAGGGCTGTTACGAAGTAAAGTATTTCATTTGCCCTGGATGAGCCCGCAGGGCGACAGACTGCCCAGCGATATAAGGACAACTCAACAGGCTGGAGTCACAGCGACATGCTAATCCTTGGGTGGTTGGGGATCCCCAACAGCAGGGGATGGCTGGACGACCCCTGGCGTCTGGCCCAGAGTTCCTGGGATTCTAATTGTACTGGTACGACGTCTGACTAAAGCCGCAGGATGGCAGCTGCCTGACCAGTGGCTGCATCAGTGAGGTTTGGGGCTGGTTGCCATTGTTTTGATGTTTGCTCTGAAAAGACTTAGAAGAATGTGAGAGAGAGAGAGAAATGCTCTTTGAGTTTATCATGAATTCCACTTTTGAAGTGTGAACTTGAATTCAGTGTTTAAGTTTGGTGTCTGTTTTTGGTTTAAGTTTACATTAGTAGTATCATACTGTATACATCGTTTGCCAGTTTCTTTTTTCACTTAAATTATATTTTTGAGATGTATTCGTTTTGAGATATATAGATCTAGTTCCTTTTAATGGCTACACAGTATTAACATTTTATGTGTTTTATTGGCTAATCAGTGCCTTCTTTAGGGACCCCCTCAAACCCTTTAAGATTGGTTCTTTGTAGGGTTTCATTTTTCTTTATCACGCTAATACCTGAGAGGTCAGAACTTTTTAAATTATAGAATTTACTCTAAGTCTAAAAGTTAGAGAAAAGAAATATCCATAATTCCTGTTATAACTGTCACTTTGAGGTCCACTCTCCTGGTATTTTTCATTATCTGTTTTTCACATGGTTATAAATTTAACACTGCATTATCTGTATTTTTTTAGGATGTTTCACAGACTTTGTACTATTTATGATTTTTCATGGCTGCCTAATAGTTTAAATAAATTCCCCATCATTTTTTCAGCTAACTTTCTATTGTTGGTATTTAAAGTTTCTGATTTTTCATACTAAAAATATTATGAATATTTTCATCTGTATGTATCCTTTCATATTTTTATTCTTACAGAGAAAGTATTATATCAGAGGATATAAATGCTTATCCTTTTATATAGATTTAGTAGCAAGGGTGGCTGTACAGTGAGAAGGAGCCACTGTGAACTGAACGGTCTATGCACAGAAACTCTTCAGTGTTCATTTATTTATAGAAAGTTTCAGCATTCGATGGCAAGTTTCTCACAGCAGTTTTCATTTTCAGAGACGTCCAGGTCAGTCTGTACGGAAGACCTCTTGCTCAGAGCCTGTGGCTCCAAACCTGCCAGGTGGACTTTCCCAGCAGACAGGCTCGCCGACCTCTCAGAGGACAGTGGGAATTCATCAGTCCTCTGGGAAAACCAGAAGTGCTCCCTCATCTGAAGTTAGCAATCTGAAAACCCCCAACTGTCAAGACTGTCCTGGAAATATCCCTGTCCAGGTTTCTGTTCCAGTTGGTGACCAGACACACTCCAAATCCAGTGAGGAACTGTCACCACCACCACCGCCCCCGCCACCCCCTCTCCCACCGCCCCTCCCTGCCAGGTCCTTTTCTTCTCAATCTGCAACTCGTCAGAATTTACACCTCAGGACTTCAGTAAAAGATGATCAGCCACTTCCTCTAGTGTGTGAATCACCTGCTGAGAGACGGCATGCTTCCTCAGACTGTTTTAAATGCCCAGGTAATCCGCTGGGACTCTGCCCCGGCTCGCTGTGGGCTGTTGAGCAGTTGAAGCATTCTAGCTTTAGAAGCCATCGACTCCCAGTCAAAGGCTTTTTCAGAATTCTGTGCAGTGTTGAAATCCTCCAGTATCTGTTGCCTTAAGTATTACTCTATTGTTGCAAAGTTAGCAGAGCCTAAATCTGAGGCTGATAAATGCTAAAGAAACCATCTCTATACATGTAATGGTTACATGAGTTGGGAGTCTCTGAGGCTGTTAAAAGTCAACCTATTTCAAGTTTCTTAAGACTTCAGTATGTGTTTGATTTTTGCCATTTGAATATTTTTCTATGTTGCTTTGAATTAAGCTTCCTGTTGCATTCTGAGTCCTTTACAGAATTAAATTGTCGCATTTTAAGCAGAATATTGGTTGGTAATTATTGTAGAGGAATATTAGCCAGAATATGGAAGGTGGTTCTTACAGACTGACTGTAGACTGAGAAACCTGTGGGAAATCTTTCTAAAATGAAGTGGTCAAAAAAAAAAGTGGACCACTCTTTGCCTTTGCAAGTACAGAACACTGAGTACATTAGAATATTGCATTGTTTAAAGAGGGCTGTAGTTCTCACTCATAATTCTAATTATGGTTTAGACGTCTAGTTCACTATTGAGACTGGCTTAAATCTGCCCAGACTTGGAGCTTACTGCTTTGGGATGTATCTGTGTGTGTGTGTATGTTTTAGATAAATCCTAGCAAAAAGCTGTGTACATTTGTTTTAAAGAGTGCCTGAGCACCTCCACCTAGAACGTGCAAGGGTACTGTGATCAGTGATGTGAATGATATAAATTCTGGTTAAGTGTGTATTCTGGTTCTTCTGAGTTCAAGGTTTCACTGTACCTAGAACCAGGTACAAATGAAAATGTCCACACTATGAGGTGGAGACCAACAGCCCATTTCCATGGGGTGTGCAACAAATCGTGTGAGTGAAAAGCAAGAGCTTGCATGCCTGTGCCTGGACTAGAGTTTGGATGTGGGGGCCTCATTCCCAGCTTGGGCTTAGTGCAGTGTTGGGAAGCCCTCTTCAACTCACTCACACAGCCTCATTCCACTGGCAAGGATAAGAAAGTGTGAATTACACCAAAAAATGCCCTTGATAGTGAGTTTGTCTTATTACTCCTAGAAGGGAACTGTAATATTATAGGTTTAAATCCAGAGTTAAATAGTATTTTGTTAGCCAGTGTGTGGCCTTTCAGTCCTGAACTAGAAATACCCTTGAAGCCGTACCTGGAAGGTTTCTAGATTAGTGGTCACAGTCCCGCCCATCTCTAGCGGGTGCTAAGAGATTTTACCCCCTCAGGGGTTTCAAGGTGCCAGAGTGAAAAATAGTTTCTCCTCACCAAGGCCTCGAAACTCTGATTTAATTTGTTTTGATAGTATTTCACACCCTCAAAAATAGAATGTGTAAGTTACCTCAGGGTAACGTAGGTGGAATTAAACACACTCTGTACAGAAATGTGCCAGTGCCCCCTCCATTGAGCTACTGATGAAAGTTTTACTTTAAGCCTTTTCGTGTGTGGAAACCTACACACTTCACTGTCACAGAAGGAGTCATCACTGACTAATATCCAAGACTGAAGTTAGAGAAACACAGCAGGGTATATTTTAAAAAGAGCTTTTTCAAGGGTGGGAAGGGATATGGGGGAGATACAATTTCAGAGGTATCTGAGTCATGCACATTGGGTCAGATTATTTACACCCCAGGCATCCATAACTCTCTTCAGGATCACATGAAAAGATTACGACATCTGTGGTTTGAAAAACAGCCTAACAGAAGTGTCCATGACTGTGCCTGTGAATTGCTATGGATTTGAAGAAGTAGTGGAAAATAAGTGGTCAAGATAAAATATTGATAATTAAACTATCCTGGATTCAAAGAGGGAGCTTATAGTTGATTTTGCTAGCAAATAAAGCATTTATTTAATGGAATGATGATTATTTGTTTGAATCATGGTGTTAACTGATGTGTGACTTAACACCTTTAACTAGTACAAAAATGTCTTGGCATCTCAGGGAGAAAGAGTATGTTTTCTTGATAGTACTTGCTTTGTTTACTCAATTTCAGGATCTATGGATGAGGTGTTGGCCTCCTTAAGGCGTAGCAGAACCCCTCTCCAGAAAGTGGAAGTGCCTGTTTTGCCCCCTCCCTGTGCCTCAGTCAATGAGCACCTTCTGGCTGCCATACGGCAAGGGGTCAAACTGAAGAAAGTTCACCCCCACCTTGGCCTGAGCCCCAGCAAGAAGCCAACCAGCGACCTGGAGAGGAGCATCAAGGCGGCGCTCCAAAGAATCAAGAGAGTGTCTGCTGACTCTGAGGAGGAGGAGGAGGAGGAGGACAGCGAGGAGCGGAGCCCCCGAGAGTGGGACCATTAAGCCTTCGTCAAGGCCAAAGGCACCGCACAGTGTGCTGAAGGGGATGATGTGGGCCCAGGGCCTGTTCTTGAAAAGCAGGTGAACAGAGGGCTGATAGACTGGCCCCAGAACCCCGGAAAGGTCAGCAGGGCTTTGGGTGTGATGCGGCAGCTTTTACTTGATGCTGTGGCTCTTAAAACCAGAGATGTGGTAATTTTCACACCAAACCATAGCTGGGATCTAAGAACACATAGAAAGTATTGCTGACATATGAGAATAATATTTATTTTTCATCATGGATAATCTAGAATCATTTCCTTATTCTGAAAATCAAAGTCTATACTACTATTGTAAACAGCACTATTAGACTACTGGCCCTATCCTCCTGTGTGTGTGTGAGTAGTGGTGTCCTCAGATTTAAAGGTTTCAATGGAACGTTGTTTTAACAATAATGAGAATAAATTGCTTATATTCAGGAATTAGTTTAAATATTTTAAATGCAATTTATTTTAAATATGACGCACTATATAAACTCATAATAAAGAACTATTTATAATGTATCAGTGTCACTCCTGAGGAAATGAAAATATAACATTTTAACTGATGTAAAGCACAGCCTTCCTCGCCTGGGTGGGTTTGACGTTTTTAGTAAGAGTTTAGCTGAACATTTGTTTAAGCAAATACTGTGGCTGAGGGAGGAGTGTTGTTCCCTTAGGAACTGAAGTCTCCTGCTGGAGTCTTTCCTCCTTGCTTTGTGTTCAGATTGGGAAAGGGGAAGGGGCCAATACAAGGCAGTCCACTTGTTTCTCAAATTGTCCAAAGCATCCCCACTAACCTCATACCCCTAACTCTTGCCATGGCGATCCTGGGTTTCCATAGAACAAGATGAATTGACTCTTCTTTGTTTCCAAAGAAAAGTTGTGTTATAGACCAAAACGCTTCCTACTTCCAGTTTCTTCTTAACCAACCCTGTCCTGTACCTGCCTGAGAGGCCTTAGCTGCCGTAGCTGGGAGGGGCTGGGTCCTTCTTCAGCAGCTGCAGCCTGGACCTCCATGCGTGGCTGGAGATCTTTTGGCGTGGCCACTGCCAGGTTGCCCACAGGTCTGTCACGTGTCTTACCTTCCCTGACCTCAAGGGATGCAGACCCAAATCCAGCTGCTGTGCATCAAGGTACCTTGCTCTGTCAGCCTGGGCCTGGGCACTGGTGTCTGATGGACCAAGCCCTGACACTTCATTGGCCCCTGTCCCCACTGCTCCCTCACAGGTTCCCAGGGGTGCTACACATGGGAATACTCCCTGCTGGCTGCTCACTGGGCTTCAGTTCCAAATCCTAGAAGCAGGTCAAGTGACCGTGCCCCAGGCCTCCTTCCCCACCGCAGACAGGCCAATTCTCTGTAAAGAATTTGATATTTAAAAAAATGGCAAAATCAGAACTTTGTTGGACTTTTTACTCTTATTTTGTAGTTTGGTATTGTTTTTATTTTAATTATTGTAATTTCAGAATACTGAGACACCAGTGAGCTTATTCTGGCTTGGGTAATTCTCAGAATTTGCTTTCTAAGGGCTTCCAAAGATGAGAACCCTTCAAAAAAAGGGATCCTTTTCAAAAGAGAGTTTTCCCAAATAAAACTACTTGCCCGATTGTCTTCAGTGCAGCAAAACTTCTTCTCTCCCTCATTTCTCCCTTTGCCCCCTTCTTCCAGCCAAGCCTTGAAGTCCAAACTCTGGCCTCTGGAATTCAGAGCCAGGGAGGGGACAGTGTATCTCCTATTGTCTAGCTTCCAACCTCTCCAATCCACCCTCCAGAGTGCTGCCAGTCAGTCTCCCCTCTCCTCACAGAAAGTCCTTCCCCGCTCTCCAACCCACAGAGGTGAGGACCGGCCCCTTGGCATGGCAGGCCAAACCCTAAAACTTGGCTGCTGTCTCCTAGGCAGCCCCTTCCCCTACCACAGCTTTTACTCCAGCAAACCAGGCTGTTTGCTGCCTGCCCCAAAAGGCCCTGCTCTTTAAAGCATAAGTGCCAGGGTTGCCCTCAGCCCTCGTCTCCCCACCCTGGCAAATCCACACCCATCCTTCAGTTTCAACCCCACAGCTCCCTCCCCTCTGAAGTCTTCCCGACCCCTCGTCTATTCAACACTGCACCTTGTCCTGGACTCCAGTCACGCAGCCTCCCCATCCACAGCCTTGGCTACAAGGGCAGCCACCATGCCAGGCTTTACACCCCGAGATGGGCCCTCTGGCCAAAGCTGATCCTAGGATAGCTAATCCATAACTGGCAGCATCCTGTGGATTGTCCTGGAGTACAAAACGATGAGCTGGGCCAATCAGACTCATGTCTTCATTTGTTCAGTCGTTCCCTCTCCAGAATCTGAACTGGGAATCAAGCAGGTAGTAGCAGGAGCTAGAATCAAGAGGTTTTTGATTAATGACCACCCATCATGGGAAGCTATGTAGTTTAGTGAATTTATACAGCAGAGGTTCTCAAATCATAGGTACGGAAACTCATGTGAGGAGCGTATTGGCCTTCTACTGCTACCATAACAAACGACCACAAACTTATAAAAACACAAATTTGTGCCTAAACCAAGTCAAATTTTATTATCTTACCATTCTATAGGTCAGAAGTCTGACATGGGTCACTGGGCTAATGTCAAGGTGTTGGTAGGGCTGCGTTCCTTTCTGAAGGCCCTGGTGAGAAGCTATTTCCTTGCCTTTTCCAGTTTCTAGAGGCTGCCTGTGTTCCTAGGTTTGTGGCCCCTTGCTCCATCTACAAAGCCAGCAACATCACATCTCTCTGCCTCTTCATCATAATGTCTCTTTCTGATCCCAGCCAGGAAAGGTTCTCAGCTTTGAAGAACTCATGTGATCAGACTGGCCCTCACAGACAGTCCAGGATAATCACCCCATCTGAAGGTCCATGACCTTAATTACACCTGCAAAGTCCCTTTTGCCATGTAAGGTAACGTATTCGCAGGTTCCAGGGATTAGGATGTGGACATCTTTGCGGGGGCTGTCATCCTGTCTAGCACAAGGAACTTGTTAGAATGTACACGGCCAGACCCGGACTGCAAAGGTGTACTCTAGAAGTTTTTCTGGGATGACCTGGAAACTCCAGATGGCTCTGAAACAGCTGGTCTGCAGCCCATCCTTAGAAGAACACTAATATACACAAGTCAGACAGGACAAGGGGGCCGTGACGAGGGAGGGGCGAGGCAGGTCTGCTTAGTCACAGCAGTGTCCTTCCAAGGCTAAGAGCCTTGAAGCCTGAGGTCTCACAAGGTCTTCTGAGTGGCCCCGGGTCACCCCAGCTCTGGAGAAGCTCGGTGTGCTCTGGCCCCTGTTCTTGGCTACCTGTGAGGACCCTGCTCGAGGGGGCGCCTCACAAATCCCCCATCAGTTGAGTTGCACTGGCAACTGCAATGTATCTTCTCTCCTCTCCATTGGAATGTAATAGCTTTGTGGAGAGTATCTGTGTCTTTTCACCTTGTGTTCCCAGGGCCTGGAGTATACAGGAGCTCAGTAAATGCTTGTTAAATGAACACGAGTTAATGATTTAAGAGCTGCAAGTGTGCAAAGAGCTATATAAAAAGCATGCAAGAAGGCCCCTGGGAATGGATGATTTTAACCCGGGCGGCCAAGGCCTTTGACGTAGGCCTAGGAAGAGGAATGGGGTTGGAGCAGGGAAAGGATTCAGGCAGTGAGGAGACCAGGAGCAAAAAGAGCACAGAGCAATGTGACAGCCAGGCACGGGCAAGACCGGGGAGGCGCTGGTGTGACTGCATGGGGCTGTGGGGGTGTAGGAGGGAGAGCCAGTAAGGGACAGGGCAAGAACGTGATCTGTCCCAAGCTTCGGGAAGAAGCCGCTGGTAGCTTTACACAAGAGGAACCAGAAGACAGGAGACCCCGGAAGCAAGAGACCAGGAACAGGGCAGGGACAGTCTGGTGAGTAGCAGTGGTGGAGTGAAGAGATCAGGATGGCTAGAGGGAGCACCAGATTGTGTGGCTCTTTGTGCAAGAAGCAAGAGAAAGGACACAAAGATGGTGCCAACACTTAGACGGGTGGTAGTGCCAGGGTCAGGGATCAGGAGGTGGTGGAAGCAGTGGAGGAAGCGGAGCCGGGCTGCATGTGAGGCGCTGGCTCTATGTCCAGGAGACTGGGACAAACGTGGAGCAGGGAAGCCCTCCAGCAGCAGGTGCCCACACAGGGGGCTCTCCCGCTGCAAGACGGGGCACAGGCAGTTGCTGACAGAGTCGACTGTGGAAGCCTTGAAACTTCCAGGGAGAGAGTATCAAAGGAAGACGGCCCAGGCCACATCCTTGGAGACCCCGACACTGCAGAGTAGGAGGAGGAGGGCAGTGAGAAGGAACAGTCAGTCAGAGAGGCATGACAAGCATTAGAAAGGAAAACTTCAGAGTCTTTGGAGGATTATTTCAAAAAAGAGGTGAGGTCAACTTTGCCAAATGCCCCGGAGAAATAAAAAACAGGACGTGATTTGCTGTTGGGAGGCCCCTCCGGGAGGTGGTTCATGCAGTGATGAGGGCCGCAGCCCTCGCCCAAGCAAGCAGTGAGGGCCTGCGGATGGTGACCGTCAGCAAAGCAAAGCAAGCACTGGTGGCCACAGAGTCACTCTGACTCAGTAGTCTGGTCTCTCGTGCAAACACACATTCGGCTAACATAGCAGTGCCTTTGAGTTAAATCATCCCCCACCCCCAAACCTCTGCTGTCTAATAGGAGATGACTGCATAGAGAGGGGCTAGGCGGTCAGGGCTAGGACAGCCTCGTGGAGATTTCTGCAACACGGGAACATCTGAATCATTGTAGTATTCCAAACATACGAACATGACACAGAGGTGGTGGAGCAAAGGTACAGCAGGGCAGGGGCAGGAATAGGGACATCTCAGCAGACACGGACCCCGTCCCCTAACACCTTGGGAATATATAAGCCCCCCAGAACCTTTGAAGACTCAAATCTGCAGAAAAGGGGGTCCCAGAATTGACTGAGATCAAATTGCATGAGCCTAGTAGAATGAGGGCTCAAAACAGAAATTAACTTGAATGAAGGGAAAATACAGAAGGTAATATTTCTTTCA